TTCAGCATCGCGAACAATTGCCCAAACAACAATTAACCTGCGGGATCTGGAGGGGAGTTCTGTTTGTGGATTGCGAAACTCTGCTCGAAACAGATTCAGATCCAACAAGAGGGCCATAAGAGTGCTTTTGGCAATGCGCAAAGACAACGAATGACTTTTTGGCACATCTTGAAGGTGGTCGTGCTTAGCCTGCAATCGCATCGGGATTGGAGCACAGAAAGAGCCTCCTGGACAGAGGGCTCCGCACAGAAGGTCCTCTGGAACCCAGATTCGCACTGGTGAGCAGACGAATTTCGCCGGAATTCAAACTTAAACAGGTTGCGACATAGAGGGAGCCGGAAAGAGAGAGGGACATGATCATTATGTCTCTGGTTTAAAAATGTGACGAGCCTCAAAGTCTTTGACGAGCCTCAAAGTCTTGTGGTTGTTACATCCAACGACGATCCAGGAAGCACCCACTCACATGAGAGGCCAGTTAAGAATTATAAGTTCGCCCTCATCCGAACTTCTTTTGCTGTCTGGTTAAGCGATGTGTGTAGCTTGGACTATACGGACGCAGCGGAGATCGAATGCTGGTGTCGGGCCGGCCTGTTCTTTGAACCTGATCGGGCAAAATGAGAATTCCCGAGTCGGGCGGACTTGGACTGTTGTTTCTTTTCGTGATGGGTTCGGAAGACCTCAGTCAATTCAATAACCTAGCGAAAACGCCAAGTTCGCCGGGATCCGTACTAAACGACGTTGCGAGAAACACTGAATTACAGGGAAATAGGATCCGCACGTGTGCGGTGATCGCCATCTCAGAAGAAGCAAGAAACCATGCACAAGTCTGATGTTAGATGCAAATGCGGGTCCGCTAAAAGGACAGTTGGCAAAGTCGAAGTCCGCCGAGATCCAGGCTTCAGGAGTATGCGAACGAGAGATAGAGAGAGAGATAGGTCTGCACTTCCGTGTTATCTACGTTATATCCACCATTTCCGGCTACACATATGCCCTACACACCTTTCGCTCCTTCATACCTAAACACAAGGCCTGACAACCCGTCCGGATCTAGTGACGTACGGTGTTTCCCGCGGACGAGGAAGTGGACCGAAGCTGTACATAGCATTCATCGGTGATCCATAAAAGTGGTTCTGCGGTCGCTCGGCTGTTGCATTGTCCAAAAACACGGATATGTATTTCATCCTAACAAATCCTCCTCGTCGAGCCAAGGATTTCCCTATATAGTCCCGTATATTGGACACTTTCTCTTCCACCTCATGCCACAAAGAAAAAATTTCGACCTGTCCTGCTATTATCAAATTTGACCACCCTTCCGCACCGAGGCGCCGCAACGGGACGAACTTGTAGACTGGTCTTCCCCGTTGTGCGTCGATTACGACCTCGTTCCGCGACACGCGCACAACTGCGTCGACGAGTTTCCTACTTTTGTTCGAAGTGGCAAGACATAGCACTCTGGCGAAATCAGATCTGACAATAGTCAACCGCACACAGTAGTATGACACAGCTTGTGGACGAATCCCGAGGCGGCAGAGTGGGTACTGCTCCAAGAATGCACAATGACGAGCGCAGTCCACCAGCTCCTGTTTCTGCGACCTTCCCCAAGTTCGTGGCGAAGACGTGATGAACTCGCAGTGGAGGCGACTGTAATGGCGGCTAAAGCAGTGGAATGTTTTGCGCACATGGTTCAGGAACTTGTGCTCGAGAACACCATCAGGCAATGCAATGAGGTCACCGAACTCTAACATGTTGGCGAACTTGCAATGGCCCGCCCAAGGGCAGCCACTCTTCATCTCTTTCCAAGTAGCATCGCTCCAATTGTCAAGATGCCGGCTCATGTACGAGACGACGGTCATCCACGGGTCCTCTTTGAAGTCCTCTGTGTCTGCTTCGTCGATCCAAGTTTGACCGTCATAATGCCGCATTGATCTGGCACAAGGAGGGAACGGTTGTGCTAAGCGCATGTGCGTCTCAGGACTCATGCTCATGCTTCTTGGTGGCATCGATAACATTATGCACCCTACACATCACGCACGCACACCAAGTAGCACGTACTCGTAAACAGATTTGGCAAATAATCCATTCAGTTGTCACGTCCGGAACAAAATGTTCAAAACCTTTCTACACGCTGTGAAGCGCAGGCATTGCACAATGTGCTAGTTCAACTGTCGTCTTCCTTTCCTGACCACCGTTGAAGGTACCTGCCTATCGTTTGAGGTTACATTGCAAAGCGGGTCCCACGATGGGGCACAAAAAAAGATCCCAGTCAGATCGATGGGCATGTGGTAGCGCGTAGTACACCGGGAACCAGACTTGTGGACGTTGCGGGACACAGAAAGAGAGAGAGACAGGTTTTGTGTTTGCATGTTTGGTGAAATCAGCTGGGCAGCAGGAGAATTGCATTGTCTTCGGTGAGTGGACATGATTTAGTAGTCCACCGCCATCCGTACTTGTTCTGCCGCCCGATTTTGGACGGTGTCAATTTTGGTGCCGAATGCAGCCAACGTTCGATGGTCGGAAGCGAAGAACCATGTGTAATGTCGCGCTACGAGAAAACGCGAATCGTGTCTCCGAGCGAACTTGTTCTCTTGTTGTAGTCCACGGGGCGCCAGAAAGGCCACAGGCAAAACAGAGAACACGCAAAAATACGAAGTTCGCTTGCATCCGAACTAAACGAGTGTGCGAGGATCCATACTTGCATGGTAAGTGACATAGTAGAGGCATCAGGTCCACTGAAGCCACAAACGAGATGGCAGCCATTGTAGTTCGGATGCGGGCGGACTTCTTAATATGGGACCTGCATACAAACACGGAAGTTCGGAATCCGGTCGGCTTCTTTAGTCCTCCCCTCCCGCGCCTAAACCCTAAACCTTAATCCCGAGGAAGTTAAGTTCGGATGCCGGCGAACTTCAACTGTTCAACAGCGAAGCAGCCGAGCGTTGAAGTTCGGATGCCAGCGCACTTCTTCAGTCGACCACCGACGCGGGTAGGCCAACAATGGTTACATAGTTTGTGTCCACGGGTTGACCGATTAGTCCGCTCGCATCCGAACTTCAATGACCTCCGTGTCCCGCATCCGAACATTGTCGACAACCCTACTCTGCATCCGAAGTTCGGATAGCCGATAAATAGTCCAATGATTGAAGTTCGGATTTCGGCGGACTTCGTCCGTAAGCCCCCCCTGTTGGCAGGCCAATCAATACAACCCTAATGCGGGCGGACTTCTTCTTCAGTTGGCACCCGCAGGAGGCACGTGGACATTTGAAGAAGAGTGTGCCAATCAAGAAGTTCGGATGCGCGCGAACTTCTCTAGCCAGCACCTGCAGCTGGAACTCGACCTTTGAATGCAGAGAAAGGCAATCCATGAAGTTCGCATGCGGGCGGACTTCTTCGTTTGTCCGCCACAGAGAAAACGAGAAGTTCGGATGCCGGCGAACTTCTTCTTCAGTTGGCACCCGCACGAGGTACGTGGACATTTGAAGAAGAGTATGCCAATCAAGAAGTTCGGATGCAGGCGAACTTCTCCAACCACCACCTGCAGCCAGAACTCGAACTTTGAATGCAGAGAACGGCAATCCATGAAGTTCGGATGCAGGCGGACTTCTTCGTTTGTCCGCCACAGAGAAAACGAGAAGTTCGGATGCCGGTGAACTTCTTTTTCCACCCCTCCTATGCTGGACCAGACGTCCCATCTTCGTCCCGGGTATTGATTGTTCTGGTCGATTTGTGAGTGATTTATGTGAGACAGGTTCCGTTGCGGAAACTTTCTGTGAGAGAGGGTCGATGTCGAACGAGGTCCGATGTGGAATGAGGTTCGATGTCGAATAAGGTTCGATGTCGAACAATATTCGGCAACATCCGATGGACTGTGCACAATTTTCCTGACACGAACACACGATGAGCATTTCATCAGTCACTAGGTCAACCAAGCTGTTTTGCTCGATGATGTAGTTGGCAGGATGGGCATGAATCAAAAAATTGACCACGCTCTTTTGCTCGATGGCAGTAACAATCGCGTTAGATCGTTGGATGCACGCACACAAACACAGGAAGACACAGGCAGTTCGCTTGTTCAAGTGCTATGTTACTGCCATCGATTGGTTGGTTGAGCAGGGCTTTCCACGTTTGGTATAGGCATGAATTATGTGGTCGAAAACATGCAATTTATGATGATGCGAAGAGTAGTTGCTTGTGACAATCAGGCGATCAACCGGTCGATATGCGAACAGACCGTTCCCGATAATGAGCTTGATCGACGGGTGCATGCGAATGTGTAGATATGGGATAAAGGTCGTGCATCTCCTTGTCAGGCAATCTGATTATCGCAAAGTAGATGGAGCAAAGCATGTGCAAATCGAGCCCGTCTAGCGTGGAGGATGACGCAGAGCAGCTTGGAAAGCGGAGCGGGAGGTGATCTGCGATGCAAGTGCACGTGGGTTCACTGTTGAAGCGGCGCCGAAGAAAGAACTGGCGCCGATTAGCGTGCGTGTCGCGCGGGTTGGAATGCGTGCCGCAGCGATGAGGAGGACGACGAAATGACCGCAATTGTCGAGCGATGGTGTTGACGACAGTGGGAGGGTAGGATGGCGGTCTGACAGCATCTCCCCAGCGAAATGCGCAATTGCGAAATGAGCACTGGGTAGGCTGGACTCTAGTTGTAGGCACGAGAAGGACACTCCGCGTGGAAGGAAAGGGCCTTTTCGAAATCGAAATTGCTGCCCTCCGACGGGGGCGGGAACTTTAGACCCAGTCGACCTGGAGGAAAAAGCGCGGGAGTCCGAGGACCATTGGATTTGCCCAATCGACGGCCTCGGTCCCTCTCCACATAGGGCCTGGACATGACACGACGGGTATGACAGTACCGGGCGACGGCGGGCAGGAGGCCCATTGCACACCAACAGGAGGGACGTCGATGACAATCGGAGGCAGGCCTTCTCCCTGGCCGGCAGGAGGCCCATTGCACACCGATCGAAATCGCAAGGCCAGCCCTGGTTTAGCCCTCCGATTTCCGCATCGCAAGGCCATTCGCTGACGGGAGGCTGCATCACGAAAACTTCTGCGCGAAAAATGCCCTGGGAACGCTTCCGCGCAGGTGGCCATCCCGGTTCACCCTCCCACTCCCTCAGCTCATTCTCGCTCGACGACAGCTCTATCGCCACGCCATGCGCCATCGTCTTCTTTCGCCCCGAGCTTTGCTGCGCCATCGTCGTCTTTCGCCCCAAGCTGCGAATCATCGCGACGTCGCGTCGTCCCTAGCTGCGCAGCGCCATCGTCGAGTCGTCCTCAGCTGCGCTGCGCCATCGTCGTCTTTCGCCCCGAGCTGCACTGCGCCATCGTCGTCTTTCGCCCCGAGGTGCTTCGCGCCATCCTGCGTCGCACCGTCCTTGGACAACGACATCCTAGATACGTCGGAGTTACTCTCCTCGACGGCGCGGCTTCCAAAGCCCGTCCCGCCTCTCCCGCCCTGTGCTCTTCCCGGCACGTTGCACAAGAGAGACGGAGAGAGCAAGAGAGAGGAGAGAGAGAGAGAGAGAGAGAGAGAGAGAGAGAGAGAGAGAGAGAGAGAGAGAGAGAGAGAGAGAGAGAGAGAGAGAGAGAGAGAG